CGCACCGTGCCGGGTCCCCGCCACGCCCCCAAGCCTGGCACGGCCGGCCGGCCCAGGGCTGCCATGTTTCCCTTGAATTGCAGGCTCCACGGGGAGCGGAGGACAGTTCTCACCTTGCCAGCAGCGCGCGGGACCAGAACACCCCGTGCCCTGCCTACAGAGGGGGTCGGCGCCCTGGGCCCGGCCCGCGGGAGTGGGCCCCGGATGGGAGCGCCCGCTCCCCCAGCGGGCCTTCTGCTGGCTTCTAGTTTGTGACAACGTCTAGCTATGGGACAGTCGTTCCCGCGTCCCGAGTCCCTTGTTCTTTCTTTCTTCTTGATCTGAGACTGGGACTCGAGCTTAATATCTGGCGCTGGCTTTCACTCATTGGCTGGCGCTGTCCCACCTGAGCCACACCTCCAATCCCCGTCAGTTTTTCTCTTTTGTAGGTCGTGGGCCCTGAACTCTGGGCCTGGGCGCTGTCCCTCAGCTCTTCAGCTCAAGGCTAGCGCTCTACCACTTGAGCCACAGTGCCACTTCTGGCTTTTTCTGCTTATGTGGTGCTGAGGAATCCAACCCAGGGCCTCAGGCATGCAAGGCAAGCCCTCTACCACTGAGCCACCTGCCCAGCCCCCACCACCACCACCCCCCACCACCACCACCACCACCCCCACAGTTTTTATGCACCTGTATTTCCTTTTCATTTGCATCCTAAGTGAGGGCTTTCTAGATCTCCTAGGTCTGACTTTTTTTTCTTAAAGAAACATGGAAGCTGATTTCCAGAATGGCAGCACATCTCTCCCTCCCTCCCAACCCAGCACTAACCAAGGGCCAAGTGTCCAGAGGGCCTCCTCCCCCTCCCCCAACCCATTATCTCCGGCACTCCCATAATGAGGTGTAGGCCGAGTCCTCAGCCCCAAGGCCCACATGGAACCGAGAGGCGAGGCATAGTGCCAGGTGAGCCGGGCCCTGAGCAGCCTTCCTGCATGCAGACCCTCCCCAGCCCCAGGCCCAGTGCGGACACATCCATGTGGGGGCCCCATCATCCCTGGGCCTGCCTTGCCTGGCCATCCTGCCTGGCACCCAGCCTCCAGCAGACCGGGGGTGTTTGGAACAGCCACTGAGCAGCAGGTGGAGAGCAGGGCGGACACGGTCGAGGGTTCTGGCCCTGCCTTGGGGGCCCCGGTGACCCCGACCCTTGAAAGGCAGAGAGAGGCAGGGCCAGGAGCGGCAGGTCTGGACGGCACACTGCTGCGCTGCTCTGCCACGGGACCAGGCCCTGTCCGGTAGTGGCATCGGTGGAGGGGAAACTCGGGGGCACTTTGGTGAGGGAGGGGACAGGTGAGCAGAGGCCTGGGTCTGGAGGGGGGGAGGTCCTAGGGGAGCAGTCCACCAGGCAGACATCCAGCCATGAGGAGGAAACCCAGTGCTGCTGAGCAGAAGAAAGCAAAGCCAGCATGGTCCCCGCAAAGCCAGCTCTCCCCGGCTTGGAGGAGAGGCGGGGTGGGTTCTGAGCCAGCCGTTCCCCATCCAGTAAGCGCCTACTGTGTGCAGCCTGCCCGGGGGTGGGGGGGAAGGAGGGAGGCCAGGCCCGGAGGCGCGGCCCCGGCCGGCCGCAGAGGGAGCCTGACCCCCTCTTGGACAAACATCTTGCTGCCATTTCCGCCTCGCCTGCCCGGAGCCCGGCCCGGCCTGAACAAACACTCGGGACCCGCGCTTCCGGCCCGGCTCTGGGAAAAGCCCAGCCGGGCTGCTGAGGTCAAGCTGGAGGGAAGCGGGAGGAGGCGGCCCTGAGGGCCTGGCCTCGCCTGCCAGCTCAGCGCCCTCCACGCAGGCCAGGTTCACTCCAGGGGTCACAAAGCTCCTCGCCATCACCGAGGTGGGGGTGCTTGAGACACCCCAGCGTGGTGCTGGGTCCCCCCGCCCTTGGCCTGCAGAGGGAGCAGAGGCCCAGGGAGCTGTCTAACCAGGGGCTGGGAAGCTGGCTTGAAGCTGGGGGGGGCTGGGGGGGAGGGGGGGTCGCAGTGCCCCAGGGCTGCACCCCTGTCCTGTCCACATCATCGGAGACCCCTTTGGGCCAGGGTCTTCATGGGGAACCAGACCAGGGTGGAGTAGGGATGGGAATGGACAGGAGGCGGGGGGGGGGGACAGGGGAGGCTCAGGGCAGTGCCTGTGTGGCCCAGCAAGGTGGCAGGGTCCAGGGTGCACCCCTGGGTGTGCCCCTGGGTGCCGCTGCCTCCTGCTCGTGGCCTGGCGTGCACCCCTGCACCCGGCTGGGCCGGCAGCCACGGGGCCTCCTCCGTGAAATCGCTGCCAGAGAAAATCTCCGCAGCTGGAGTTTGATTTTGTGTTTGTTTTTCAGGCAGGATCTGGGAGTGAGACAATGGGATTCATGTTATTTTTTTTTCTCCTTGGGAGCTGGATTCCCACCTCGGCTTCCTTCCGGTCTGCAAGGAGCGGAGGATGGAGTGGGCTGGGGTGAGGGGGACCGGAGGCTGCAGGCTGCGCCCTGTCCTGTGGCCGATCTGAGACGCCCATCGCCTCCTCCGGGAAGCCCTCCCTCACGGACCCCACAGAAGCTCTGCTGTGCCCACGCGGGTCTGTCCCCTGCATGAGACCTGAAGGAGGCCCCAGCCGAGAGCGTGGAGGGGGCCAGGCTGCCCAGGGTCCTGAGTGCAGGGGTCACACGAGGGTGGGGGGCACAGGCAGGGGGCACAGTGGGGCTGTGGAGCCTGGGCAGTTGCTCATGTCTGTGAGTCCAGTTCCTTCCCAACGGGGGCTGAGGGCACCATGTGGCTGATCTGAGTCTAGGTCAGGGCTTAGCAAGGGCAGCAGTTGGGGTGAGGAGACGGCGGCGGCGTGGGCTCTTGTTTGGGAGGACACAGCCCGGAGGCCAGAGCAGGGCCAACAGCGTAAATCCTCTCGGTCACTCCACAGTGCAAAAACAGCACAGCCTGGGCCCTGTCTGCACGCCTGCACGCACGGGCGGTGAATCCCCGCAGAGCCCCAGTGAACTCCAGCCGTGGCTGCGGGCCCTGCCGTCCTCACGCCTGCCCCTCCCTCTGGTGGGTAGCGGAGGGCCAGGGCTCTGGCCGGGCCTCCCCAGCCCGAGCCCCAGCAGTGGCCTTGAGGTCCATGCCGAGAGGGGCTGTTGAAGCAGAGGAGGCTCCCTGAGAGGGCGGCCTGGCTCTGGGCACCAAGATCAATGTCTGACCATCCTTAAGCCTGGTACCTCGTGGGCCTGTCTTTGCTCCGGGGAGCCCCTCCCAGCAACTGGGGGAAGCTGAGGCACGGAGCAAGCCGTTCACGAACTCGGATGCTGCAGATCAGGGGCACCACCGCTGCTGCCTCTCGAGGTACCTCCAGCCCTGGAAGCTGTGCTGCTGGCCTGGGACAGCCTAGACCATAGGCAGGAGCTGCTCCGGGCGCTGGGCGCCGGCCACAGGCTCTGGGTGCCCCCCCTCCCCCCCCATCTGCCCCAGCCGTCATGGCTGTTAATTTGGCCTCTGATCCCCATAAAAATTCTGCTTTCCCCACACATTTGTTTATTTTTATTTATTTATTGCCAGTCCTGGGTCTTGAACTCTAGGCCTGAGCGCTGTCCCTGAACTCCTTTTGTTCAAGGCTAGCACTCTACCACTTGAGCCACAGCACCACTTCCGGACTTGTTCTGTGATTAATTGGAGGTAAGAGTCTTACACACTTTCCTGCCCACACTGGCTTTGAACTTCAATCTTCAGATCTCAGCCTTCTGAGTAGCTACGATTATAGGTGTGGGCTACCAGTACCTGGCTATTTATTCATTTTAGTTTGAATGAAGAGCCTCGCTGAGCTTACTTGGTTTACTCCTAACTGGTGCTCTACCCCTTGAGCTATACCTCCAGCCTGGCTTTTTGCTGGTTATTTTGGAGATGGGGGGAGTCTCTCAGACTTTTCTGCCAGGACTGATTTTGAACCTCAATCAGATCTCAGCCTCCTGAGTACCTAGGCTGACAGACATGAGCACTAGTGTCTGGCTCCAAATTTATTTTTAATACACAAAATACATATTCTTTAAGAAAAACAGAAAACTCAGAGCCAAGTGCCAAACTCCATCAAGAGTGAGGACGCAGGCGCAGGTCTGAGGCTTTGCCTGCTCCTCCGCCCCTCGCCAGGGTAAGCAGGCCTCGGTGGGGGGAAGGAGGCTGGAGGAACCAGGGTGTAGGTGACACCAGTGAGCAAGCTGTAAGGCAGGACGCCCCCCGCCCCCCGCCAAGCCAGCCGCGAGGCCCGGGCTCTGATGCCCGAAGGAAGGGGTCTCTTGGCCTCAGAGACCACTCTGGAGTCCCTGGTCCAGAGAGCTCCCTAAGGAGCCCTGCAGTGGAAAACCCTTGGCCTTGACCCCAGTGTCTTGGCCTGGACCTGGCCAGCCTCAGCGTGGAGGTGGGGAAATTGAGGCCCAGCAAGGAGGTGCTTGACTGGCTGTTTCCCGGCAGAGAGCGCGTTGAGGGCAGACCCTGTCCTGCGCCTGGCCCTGGCCAGCCCCTCTCCTCTCAGAGGAGGGGCCGCCCGGAGCCCTCCTGTGCCTGCCAGGACGTTGAGGCCAGGCAGAGCCTCGCGGTCACGGCGCGCTCGCCGGCCACCCCCCTCTGCCCATCCCGGCTGCTCTTGGCCTTCTGTGCCAGGGCCCGTGCGCCTCTCTGCTCGGGCGGGGGTAAGTCGGTGACGGCAGGCCGGCTGTGGGCACCGTCAGCAGGGCTGGGGTTTGAGCTGGGGGCGGCCTCGTCCCAGTCACAGATGGCAGGTGTGGATGGACAATGGGCTGGGTGGGGCATCCGCGCTGACCTCACCGGCGGGGGGGGGGGGAGAGTCCGCTGCCTGCTGTGCTGAGGAGAGGGTCTCCCCTCCTATCCTCTTCCTCCAGCCTCCTTCCTGCTGCCAGGAAGGAGGCTGGTGCTTCCGTCCAGGCGCATCGGTTGCACCTCGGGTGCCGCATCCTGCAGGCTCCTCAGGCTGACTCACTTCCTGTTTCTGGAAGCTGGAAATAGCTGCTTCCCTGGGCAGGTCCCGGGCTCCATCCCTGGGGGGTGGGGAGGGAGGAAGGGGGGAAGGACGCAAGTCTGGGTCCCACCAGAGGACACAGATACCACGAACACCCCAGGCCTGGGATCAGCCTCACAACACGCCAGCCTGTTTACAAGGGACATGGGATGGGGGGGCGGGGCTGGCTGGGGTCCTCCCAGAGAGGAGGACCTGGCCTGGTGCTATGGCAAGGGTTGAATGCGCCTCCAGCTACCTGCGGAGAGCGCTGGGCATGGAGCAGCAGGGCAGGGGCAGCGAACCAGAAAGGGCCGGGTGGAACCAGGGCTGGAGACCCTGGCATGGCTGGAGTGGCAGGTCAGCCACACAGCCATGGGCAAGGGAGCAGGGCCCCGCGTCACCCCAAACGCTTCCACAGGATTTAACGTTGGAGATAAACAACAGAACACGTTTGTGTTCAAGACCCCAGTGTCTTGGCCGGGGCCTGGACTGCCCAGGACCTCAGGAAAAGGGCAGAAGGGCAGAGCGCAGGGGTGCGGGCGGGCGGGCGGCGGGCGGGGCTCACGCAGAGGCAGTAGTCTTCCAGCCAGGGGCGGGCGGGGTGTTGCGCGGGGTGTTGCGAGGTGAACTTTGTATGAGTGGCTGAAGGGATGGGGTGTCTGGCAGCTGGGTGGCGCTGACCTGGGCCGCCTGGCAGGCTGTGAGGAGAGCTCAGCCTGGGTTTGGGATCCCGAAGTTTGAGCTTCTGGCCTGGCCGCTGACACCCTTTCTTATTCATGCCCAGGGGCACACCCAGGATGCCGGGCGGGCCGCTAACATGGGTTAGAAGCGCTCTTGGAAGTGTGACCGGCCGAGTGGCGCGAGTTCTGGGAGTTCAAGGACAGCCCCGGCTACCCGGCCTCAAAAACTCAAAACCAAAACATGGTCAAAGCTGGCGCTGGTGGCTCACGCCTGTCATCCTAGCTACTCAGGAGGCTGAGATCTGAGGACTGTGGTTCAAAGCCAGCCCGGGCAGGAAACTCCATGAGACTCTTCAATGAACCACCAGAAAACAAAGTGGAACTGTGGCTCAAAGCGATGGAGCACTAACCTTGAGCACACAAAGCAAAACAAAAACATGGTCTTGAATTCAGGGCCTGGATGCTGTCTCTTAGCTTTTTCCACTTGAGGATCATGCTCTACCACTTGAGCCACATCTCCGCTTCTTTTTTGGTGATGAATCGAAGATAAGAATCTCATGAGTTTTCCTACCTGGACTGGCTCCGAAAGGTGCTCCTTAGATCTCAGCCTCCTGAGCAGCTAGAGTTGTAGATGAGCCCCTGCTGCCCTCTGGCCTGGTTTTCTTGTGTCCTCGGCCTCTACCCTGGCTTGGCCTGCCTGTCAGCTGCACATACAGCTGTCTCCTCTGTCTTCACGGCTGTATCCCCCCCCCATGCCCCCCACCCCTCTGCCCTGCCCTGCACGTGCTGCCTGGCACACAGCAGGTGCCCGGTACATCACACGGAGAATGCACAGTGAAGGGGGCACTGGCTGGTCTGGGGACAGAGCTGGTGGGCTGCCCCTCCTCTCAGCCTGGGCTCTATCACTTCCGCTCACCCCGAGGCTGGGTAGGCAGCCGTGGGGTGGAGAGGTCACATGACTCACCTGGAGAATGCTGCTGATCAGAGCTCACCAGCCTGCGTCTGAGGTCACTGAGGAGCAAATGGTGACCTGTGCCAAGTGTGTGTGGGAGCCAGCCCCCCTCACCCCCGCTCCCCAGCCTCCAGCGGCGGCCTCCCTCCCACATGGAGGCCTTGGCCCTGGAATGGGGCTGCCCCTCCCCAGCACCCCCACTGTGTAGATGGAGAAACGGGGGCCCACAGAGATGAAGGATCTGTCCACGTTCCCCTGGGGGGAAACCGTCAACACTGGACCTAAAGCCTACATCCTGTGACACGTGCTACCTGGAGACCCCAGGTGGGAGGGGCTGTGCGCCGGGATAGGGACTGTCCCACGTGCTGTCACCTGCGGCTATGAATGAGCTGGGATGGGGGGCTGCCATGGTGTCGCCAACATTCCATCCTGGCACTCGGGCCTCTCTGAGAACCTGTGTGTTAGAAACAATCTTTTCCCAGGCCCCTTCCAGAGGGTTGGGTGGGCAGGTGGAGGCCAGAGACTAGGTGGAGAGAGGGGGGCGCTGCCTCTGCCCTAGAGGCCCAGAGACGGAGGAAGGACATTTATTTGTTCATCTCTTACTCCCTTGTACTGTGAGTCTGCTTTGAACCAGCCCCTCCCCTCCCCGGGTGACTCTGCTCTTAAGCCCCTGGTTGGCCCAGGAGCGGGAGCAGCCTGATGGTCATTATGGTCACCTGGGTGGTGGTTGGTCTGCAGAAGTGGCAGGAGGCGGGGCTAGTGGGCCCTGGCGACCCCGCCCCCGCCCCAACCCCTGATGGGGAATTCTGCGCCAGGACTGAGGGGAAGTCAGAGGGGAAGTCCAGGCCTGGGATGTGGCTCCTCTGGAGACTCAGCTGAGGTCAGCAGAGCTGCTCCCCGTGAGGATGGGTGCTGTCACCCGAAAGTCCCGAAGAGCCACTTCCCAGTTGCTGGGCCAGCAGGGTGGGAAAGCTGAGGAGGACCTGGGGGAGGGTGCGGTCAGGCCAGTCAAGCCAAGGCTAGAGACTGGACCATCTAAGGCCAAAGCAGAGGTCAGGCTGTTGAAGACCCCTAAAACGCATGACAGAGGCAGACTCTGGCCACCAGCAGCCCACAGGCCCCCTCCCACCCCAACCCCACCCCACAGCCCAGCCACGCCCTCTCCCACCAGCCCCCGGACACCACAGCTTCTGGAAAGTCTCTCCGCCTTCCTAACTCCTCTGCATTCTTCACTTCTCAGTTCAGGGGTTCTGAGGGAGACAGGCTCACATCCCTGGTGAGAATGTTCCAGACCCAGACCTGCTCTGGATGGGAGGCCTCTGGTGAGGAAGGACTGGTGTCCACCTGCCCCAGGACTGTGGAAGGCAGGCGGGATCCTGATCGTGGGAAAAGGGGCGCTCTGCACTGCCACTCACACAGAATGGGGGCGGCCAGGCAGCCTTACTGGCCCTCCGAGTTTCCTGTGGCTGCTGCGACCAGCCGGTGCCTGTGGCTCACACCCATCATCCCAGCTGCTCAGGAGGCTGAGACCTGAGGATCACGGTTCAAAGCCAGCCCAGGCAGGAAAGTCCTCTCTCAAGACTGTTATCTCCTATTAACCACCAGAAAGCCAGAAGAGCAGCAGTGGCTCAAGTGGTAAAGCTCAGGCATAGCACCCAGGCCCTGAGTTCAAGCCCCAGGCCTGCTACAACACAGAAAAATAAACAGACCATCCTGTGTGGGGCAGGCATGTCCAGGAGTCCACCCACCCCAACTTTCACTGACCTGCGTCCTGTCCGGTCTTCTGTAGTCCCGGGGAAAGCATGCTGTCCGGGCTGCTTAGCAGCCCAAAGTGTGTGCCAGGAAACCATCTCAGAATAAGGGGCTTGAAGGAGGCCAGACCCCTTTCTAAGGGGACATTTGGGCTGAGTCCTGAGGGAGGTAGACAAGTTCTCCCAAGAAAACAAGAGGAAAGTGGCGCAGTAGCTCAAGTGGTAGACCGCTAGCCTTGAGCTGAAGAGCTGAGGGACAGCGCCCAGGCCCAGAGTTCAAGCCCCACAACCAACCAAAAAAAAAAAAAAAAGAAAAATATAATTTAAAAAAGCCGGGCGCCGGTGGCTCACGCCTGTAATCCTAGCTACTCAGGAGGCTGAGATCTGAGAATCGCGGTTCAAAGCCAGCCCGGGCAGGAAAGACTGTGAGACTCCTATCTCCAATAAACCACTAGAAAATCGGAAGTGGCGCTGTAGCTCAAGTGGTAGAGCGCTCGCCTTGAGATGAAGAGCTGAGGGACAGCACCCAGTCCCAGAGTTCAAGCCCCACAACTGACAAAAAAAAAAAAAAGAAAGAAAGAAAACAAGAGGAACTGTCTTTTCTGGAACAGATCCTCCTAAGAGTTCAGAAAAACCATCGTGCAGAAAGACCGCGCCCAGCCCACGCCGGTCTCTCCTCCACCGCTGTGTGTGACTGCCCGAGCGCCCAGCCAGCTATGGTTGGCTCTTCACACAGCAGGCGTCCCGGTCCGCAGCTCACCCTTTGCACACCCAGAGCACTTTCAGGACATGGAGGGGAACTTGTGGTCCAAGTGATGAGTGGGGACAGCTGGGGGGGAGGGGCCTGGGGAGAGCAGGCTCACCTGCCAGGGCGGGGCCAGCCCTGGTGCTTGGGCAGACCCCCCCATACACAGGTGATGCCCCAGCGCATCCAAGATGAGAGACGTGTTCTCCAAAGCTTCCTAGGACACAAAGAGGGCCGGGACTCACCCTCACTTCATAAGTGTGGAAACTGCGCAGACCCAGGGAGGGGCAAGCCCCTCCCCCCAACACACAGAGGTCACGCAGAAATGAAGCTCAGGCCTTGGGTTGTTGGGATGAGCACCCTAGGAACGGAATCAGCAGGTCTGGATGAAACCCCAGCGCTTCAGGGAGCAGCCGCACACATGAACACATGTACCACACACACACACACACACACACACACACACACACTGGAAGGAGTTCGGGGCTCCGCCCACCGCCTCCTCGGCCTGTGTCCCCAGGGCACAGCTACGGCCCTGTCCTCTGGTGTCCAGCCAGCCCCCACTGGGCCCGGGGCCCGGCGCCCGGCATGGTCGGGACGCCCGTGTGTGGCAGGCGCTCAGGGCATCTCTGCCGGCCACGGGCTCTGTGCTGCGGCCCCGGGCAGCGCCCGTCCGCTCAGCGCTCAGAGGCCCTCACTCTCCCTGGCAGCAGCCTGGGACTGTGGGTGGGGGCGCTGGGGGCAGCCGGCCCCTCGCTGGCCCTGGACAGAGGCCTCAGTGTGAGCCGCCCAAGGCCCTTCGCAGGCCCAGACCCATGACTGGCCGTCTGAGAATGCTGCCCATTATCCACCACACAGAGCACAAAGGGGCCACGCGGGGCCCCCCCGCAGGCCAGGCGCCCGCGCCCGCGCCCAGCGCACGCAGGCCCTCACGTCCCCTGACGGCAGCCGAGGTCAAGGACGTGCCCCAAGTCGGGGGAGGGCACGCTCTCGGGCAGGAATGAGAACCATTTCCTCCGGCCCCCGTGGGGACAAAGAGGAGCTTGGGCAGCAGGCGGCTCCTCCAGAGCCTGGCCCAGGGTGGAAAGGGCGGGGGCTGTGTCCACGGGGGGTGGGAGAGCCAGTGTGCTCTCTGCAGCAGCGGCTGTCCCTCACACATCAGTGACATGGCCCGGGCTGTGCCTCCCAGTGGCTCTTCTGTCTCTCCTGGCCCATGCCAGTGGGCACGCCGCAGTGGCTGCATATCTAGCATCGGGGAGCAAGGAGCGCAAGGATAGGGGCAGGGTTCACGTGGAGCCATCTTTGTGCTGTGTGTCCTAGGACATGGCTCTAGGCCTCTCTGAGCACTCAAGCTCATCCAAGCCACTCCTGGCCATCTGACTCGGGGCCCCAGGGGCACTTTTCAAGGGCAGCTGCTCTGAGGACGGCAGTCACAATCAGGGTCCTCGAGGCCTCCGGGAGGCACAGTGACCTGTCCAAGGGACCAGGTGGCTCCTCTCCGGGTTCCAGGCAGAGGGGTCCCGGTCTTAGAGCCGACAAGTCGGCAAACTCCCAGTGGGATCTGTGTCTGCTTCCTTCCCCCTTTCCACAGGGCGGCCTCAGACGCCTCACGCCATAATGCCCAGCTCACCAGGTGACTCGGGGCAGAGCTGGGCCTGGAGTATGGGGGGGTCTCAACCCCAAGTCAGAAGGCAGAGGGACACAAGCGGCCAAGAGCCGGGTTGGAAGGGGGGGTGCGCTGTGTAGCAGCAGGCAAGCCGTGGGACCTCTCTGATCCTGGGTCCCTGTCTGTGACACAAGGCTGACAGTTCCAGGAGGGCACGGCAGAGCCGAGCGGGCTGAGATGCCCAGCTACGTCCTTGGTGCCATGTAGACCCTGGCTGGCTTCCCGCAGGGCGAAGGCTCTCCGCTTGAAGCCAAGGGCTCAGGACAGGGGCCCCTCTTCCAGTGGAGCCCTGGCCCCACTGTTATTTTTTCCAATTGAAGAAAAAAAAACACTTCCTCCTTCCCTCTTCCTCCTCCCCCTCCCCGCCTTCAGCTCTGCCCAGTAGCAGAGGAAGCCAGAGCAGGCAGGAATGGGGGAGGGGTGCTCATCCCCATCAGCAGAGGGATGGGGCTTTTCCCAAGGTTTCCAGAGCTTCAGGCATCTTTGTACCACCTGTGCTATGACCTACTTCATATTTTTAACTCACTTGTTAAAGACTTCCACAAATGCACTTATGGGGAAGTTTGACATCATTATTTTCATGGAAGCCAGCGCCCAAACTAGAAAGACACGGCAAACAGAAAGGCCCAGCTCTTGAGAAAGCTGATGTCATGCTAGCCCAGAGCTCGAGACCTTCTTTCTATTAAAAAGGGACAATGACAAATGTTACGAAGTCATTAAAGACCTGTTAGCCCCAGACCAGCCTTCTGATCTAATCAGGACCATGAGCCAGGGCCTGAGTCACAATGAGATTTCTACCCGGCCACAGTCAGTAGGGCTGGGGCATCTGCCCAGATAATTCAGACTTAGCCAGTGCAGGACCAGAGTACCACCCACCTCCCCACAGCCCCTCTCAAATCTTTTCTGGGGAGACACCCAGGACATCATAGTGAGGTGGAGACGAAGAAGCCCATTCCCGCCTTCCTCCAGCCGGCGCTGCCGCTAGGTCTTACCCTGACCCAAGTGTTCCCAGGTCTGGGTTTGAATCCTCACCTTGCTGCCTCATTGCCATTCTGTGAAATGGGCACCATAATGCCTGTCTTGTCAGCTGGCTGCAAGAAAAATAGAGCCGGAAGCTGGGTGCCAGTGGCTCATGCCTCTAATCCTAGCTACTCAGGAGGCTGAGATCTGAGGATCGTGGTTCAAAGCCAGCCTGGGCAGGAAAGTCTGTGAGACTCTTCTCCAATTAACCACCAAGAAAATGGAAGTGGCGCTGTGGCTCAAGTGGTAGAGCGCTCGCCTCAGCTGAAGAGCTGAGGGACAGTGCCCAGATCTAGAGTTCAAGCCCCACAAGTGACAATAAACACATAAATAAAATAATAATAGCGCTGGGCCCACACCTCAGCTCTGCATGCCCGGCCGCTGCTGAGACGCGGGGCCCTGGCCGTTGGTTCCCTGGCTCTCCTCCTCCTGCTCCTCATTTCTCAATCCCACAGTGGAGAGAAAGCTGAGTTGGCCAAGGACCTTGGGTTAACCGGCCAAGAATCACAGCCTTCCAGGAGTAAAGGTGTTACTACAGCAAGAAAACAGGCTCAAGGGCAAGTACCTTGCCCAAGGCCATCCAGCACTCTCTACCTCCAGTCTGTCAGAGGACGTTTAGCCTGGTGTCCAATGGCACCCCAAAAGGCTGCGGGTCAGTGGGTTACAGTCACTTAGGAAGCCTGCGTGTCCACAGTGTCCAGAACAATCCATGCTTGCTGGTCTCAGCAGCATTCTCCTCAAGGCTCAGTGGGGGGAGCTGCAGGATGCTGCAAGAGGAGCGAGGCAGGAAGGAAGCAAGGAGGGAGAGGGGGTGGGGACCGGAGGAGAGATGGGGACCCAGAGATAGAGACCGAGTGGACCGGGGAGGGGAGGAGAACCTGAGGCCCGGAGGGGGGGCAAGAGCAGAGGGGACAGAGCTGGGGCTGGAGGCGGAGGCGGGCCGGGTGGAGGGGGACGAGGTGCCCGGGGCTCTGCCTAGGGCCTTCATGGGGGTACAGCGCGGCCCTCCCATCCAGAGGTGGAAGGGGTCCCCTGACGGCCTGGGCAGCGGGGTCCTGGCTTTCTAGAGGGGGGCGGCTCCCACAAATCCCTGACAAGACCCAGGCCTGGAGGGGCCACAGGGAGGTGGGCAGCAGCGGGAAGGTGGGGGGGTTCAGGAAGTGGGGTGGCTGTCGGTCCAGCCTTTCCTGCCCGCCCCAACCCCGTGGCTGCTGAGCAACCCCTGCCCTTCCTTTCTTTCCCCAACTCACCATGGGGGCCCCTAACCGCCCCCCCAGGCGGCAGACAGCGATCTGATAAGGCCCCGTGGTGAGCGGCCAGAGCCGGACTGGGCTTCGGACACGGCCGCCCCTCGCGCCCGGAGCCCA